AAAATTTAAAAAAAGAAAGAAAAACATTTATTTTCCATTAGAAGGCCAACTTACAACTGGGGAGGCCAATGTCACACCTCGTTAAATAGTAACTTATAGAACAGTTTACCTTGGATGAGAGGGACCCTACCTGGTTTCTCCTTCACTCCTGTTTTGTTGTTGGTTTTTCATCTTCTTTCATTCACTTTGAGTTTATGTCCTAAAAGCTTGCTTCTTTCATCCATATCCCTTGATGTGTCTGGTAGGCCAGAACTGTCTTCCCACCTACGCTGGTTGGGATACCTTGTTGGATATTCCAGTAAGACCCCAGCCATACCTGTGCTTTGTTTTAGTCATGCTGAGGAACTTCTTACTTTGAAATTCTTTTATTTATATTAATTGCAATATTTGGGAAAAGAAACATCCACATAAGAGGGCCTCGTGCTGGATCTTCTAGGCTCTTGGAGGTGGATTCTCCTTCTAAAGGAACCGAGGCTCCTTAAAGAGAAGGTAGCATGACTCAGTATCTGTACATTCATAGCCTACTTTATTTTATTTTATTTTTGTATTTTTTAGTAAGGGTCTACAGGACCTACAGGGTCTCACTAATTAGATCGGACTCTTAGTGATCTGCCCATGTTCAGCCTCCCAAAGCTGGGATTACAGGCATGTGTCATGATGCCCAGTTTCAATCACCCTCTCAGAGCGCTCTCAGGGCAGGGCCAGCAATGCATGCTGGGGATCGAACCCACCTGCTGCATCTGCCTGAGCAGGTGCTGTAATCTGCTGAGCTATTTGGCCAGCCCTTCATAGCCTACTTTAAAAAAAAAAAAATCCAAAATTTGAGGGTTAAAGGAAGTGCCACTCTATCAGTTTTCAGTTTGTATGATGGGAACTTCTTTTAACACTCTAGAGGCCTGGATCCTCAAAAATGGAAAGTATAATTGATTAATGTATTAAGGATCTATGTTCTTAATGTGTTTTAAATATCTGTTTACCTATAAAAAAGACTATCATGAGACCATCTGAAGGATGAATCTTGTGAAACTTTATTTTGAGTGATTCTGTTGATCATCAAACTGATAAAGGCAGTTAGACACCTTTGTTCTGGCATGTTGAACCTATTTTTTAAAATTCTTATATATTTAAATTCTATTGTGAAATTAGTTGAGGGTTTTTTCTTTGTCTAAAGTACCTGATTGTTATACAGGTGAATGCCACATAGTTAAATTAGCTTTGAAATATGTAAATGAGACAATATCTTAAATTTGCCTAGGATTACACAGTCATACCTATTCTCATAATCTGATAGTGGATTATGTCTATGGTATTCATGTTCTTACCAGATTGAGTGGTGGTCCTACTATTCTTTTTTGGCTGGCTCAGCCCACCCTGACAGTGAGGCTGGCATGGCATGTGGTGCCAGGGATCGAGCTGTGGTCCCTGTGCTTGCCTAAGCTTGCCTAAGCAGGCACTTTAGACCACTAAGCTATCTCACAAGCTCATGTGGTCCTACTTTTTAATATTCAGTACTTAGGCATTTTTTGTTTGTTTTGTCATTGTCTTATCAATTTTTGAGCCAAAAATATATAGTCACATGATTTTATATCATTTTGTAGCATTATACAGGGCATATGGTACATTGTGGTGCACTTACAGATGTTTAATCAATAATAAAGATTTTAATGATTGACTTTTCTGTAACATGAAAAATAGGAAGTAGGG